CCCCCTATCTTTTTTTTTTTTTTTTTTTTTTTTTTTTTTTTTTTTTTTTTTTTTTGGTACTGGGGGTTGAACTGGGGTCCTTGTGCTTGTGAGGCATGTGCTGGAACTACTAAGCTAAATCCCCAGCCCTTTATTTCGTTTTTATTTTGACATGGTCTTGATAAATTGCTAAGTTGCCAGGAATTTGTGCTCTTTCTGCCTCAGCCTCCCAGAATGCTGAGATTACAGGCATATACCACCATGCCTGGCCCTTGTTGCTTTTTAAAAGATGTCAAATCAAAATGCTTAATAATATATATGACCTTATATTAGGGTCCTATAGGAAATTTAAAGAAGAGTAAAATATTTGTTAAAGAAGCACCTAATTAGAGAATCGAGGAACAAATGTGTGAAAATTAAAATTTTCACTAATAGAAGAGATGGCATAGAGCCTTTTCTAAATTAGATATGTAGAAAATAATTTTGCAACTCCAGAAAATGGGGAGATTACCTCAAGTTGGGGTAATGTTAGGAAAGTGTTGACAGAGGAAGCTCTAATCTGAGCCTTAATGGATAGCATTTGGATCATAAAGAGGAGAGAGCATTTGAGGCTAGTGGGGGCACAGGAAGAAGTGAGCGGAATAAGGGGACCATCTGATGATAGCCTGAGGAGTGAAGGAGAGAGGAGCCAACCCAGGTCCACGGCTTTAAATATTATCTTTGTGTTGATGAACCCAAAATGTGGATGTTGAGTCCCTATCTTCTGGGCTCTCAGCTCATATACCCAAGTATCTGACTTTTTTTTTTTGGAGATTTTGCAGGCATCTGAAACAAAACATTTAAAAGAACCATCGATTCCCTTCACTCTTTGTTAGATCTCTCCTCTTCCTTTCAGCCTTCTTTGTTTTGTTTTGGTCTTGGTACCACCATGAACCTGGTTTCTAAAAACTCAGAAGTTACTATTGATTCTTCTCTTTTGCATCCACATAGTCTTATCAGTGGTGCTCATGTCTGCGTTCAGAGTAGATCTGAAGTCTGACCATTTCTTACCTTACCTGCTAAGCCTCCGTTTGCTCTCACCTGGAGAATTCTAGTCTCCTGTGTATTGCCTTCCATCCAGTCTTGCTCCCCACAGTCTGTTCTCTACATAGCAGATAAGGCTATCTGTGGAAATTAAAAAATCATCTTGGATCACTTTCTTGCTTCCTCTGCAATTAGAATAAAATTCAAAACTCTTTACAAAGCTCACAAGGCCCTCCGTGACTGGGCCTTACTTTAGGGCAGGCTTGGTTTGGCTTGGCTGTGGTAACAGAGCGCAAAGTGCATACCGCCTCAAACACAAAAATACATTTATTTGATATTCAGCTAACAGTCCAGGGAAGTGTCATAGTTAGCAGGTAGCTCTTTCTTGTGGCTTTGCCATTCCCTAGGGCCTGAGTATTATTAGTATGTTCCTGACAGATGGGAGAAAGTGGGCAGGGAAAATGCCTACCTTTTAAAAGCCTTGGTCTCAAAATAGCATCTTTATTTTGGGCTTCTGTTTCATTGTCCAGAATTCACTTGCAAGATCCCATCTAACTTTGGGGGAAGTTAGGCAGTGCATACTAGTCACATCCCAGGAAGAAGAGAAAATAATTTTGGTAAACAGCTAGCAGTTACTGCCTATATCTGACATTGTCTCCTGCCTTGTTCACACAGCCTCATTCACATGCCATATGCACTGGCCAGGATTATATATTTCAGGCCTTTGTATTTGCTTTTCCTTCAGTTTGAGACCTTGTTGGTATGTATGTCTTCCTACTTTTAGTCACTTAGGTCACAGGTTAAATAAGACCTGAGACAGGCTACCTCAGACCTGCTTAATTAAAGTAGACACCAGACAATCCTTGTTCCGTTACAGATTTATTTTCTTCATAATATATACTGCTCTCCGAATATTTCATTTAGGTATTGTCTTTGTTTTTACATTGATTGTCTACTTTTCCCCTCCTAGATTCTCTATTCCTTGACGGCAGGTCGTTTGTCTTATTTAACTACTGTGTCTCTGGCCCTGAAAGCAGCTGAACAGAGTACAAGTTCAGTTAGTATTTGTTGACCAGCAAATTGACTGGCTGCCGGAATGCTGCCTTTCCATCCCACTTTTACAGTTCTTGCTCAGTCAGCCCAGATGGCCATTTTAGAACATAATGTCTTACCTCAAATTATACCACTGTAGTGACTCATTCCTTGAGAGCTGACACCCTGTTCTCTTCTATGACAGTGTATTCCTCTGTTAAAATCATATAATATCCTGTTGTGACTTTGCTTGCTGATTGCATGGTGCCTTGGAGAATTCTTTGCTGCTTGTGTTGATTCCCTAGGTTCCTCCCAGCCTTTGCTGGTGGTTTCTAATGAGTTACTGGGTGTATGAAATCCCTAAGCACTGCTAATCCTTACTCCCTTCTGTTAGGGGATGTCAAGTGCTCCTTTTGCTCTTCATCTACTCGTGTGAAATAATACTGCTTACATTTGCATATCTTAGATGTTCAATTGTTTTATAAACAGCTGTTATATTAGTCATGGCATTGGAGCCCAGGAATCTTGAATTATAGGTACTTTGCATGGGTTAGAGAAACCCTCTAAATATTTGTTTGAATTGACTAATAGTTGCTTATATTACAATCCAGCATTGTGTTATATTTATGAAAACTATTTTTGTTGTTTTTATGATCTTTGTGAGTCTCACAGCTGTAATTTCTTATTTTAACACATCTGCCAGTAGAAGACTTATATATCCCTCTACCTGTTTCCACCCTACATGCCATTTTGCCTTAAATGCTCCTGATAAAAATTAGGAATCACAGAGATATCTAGGAGCTGAGAGAAGGAGGGAGCTGGCTTCAGGAGCTCTTCTGTAGCTTTCTTAGATTTGCATATTTTCCTCCTCTAGGATTTGGATAGAAGGAGAGGTGATGTTTGTTTCACAGTTTTTTGGTAAAGGAAGAGGATAATTTACCACATTGATCTAACAGAATGAGTTCACATTATTTTGAGGACGGTTAATACACTGCATGTGTGTGTGTGTGTGTGTGTGTGTGTGTGTGTACACAAGCATATGTAAGAAATTTTAAGTTTACTGTATATTTTTATTCAAGTTATTAGCAAAATAGAAACATGTAAATGGAAAGTCTTCTGTTTTTCTATTGAATGAATAAATATTATCATTGTATATTCTTAATCCAGCAAGGATTGAGGTACAGTATATCGATTTTCATTTAATTTAACTGAAAAAGCTTTATAAAGCCTTGATTTGTACTCTTCTAGTCAGTGACATCAGAAGGAAGAGAAGTCTGTTTTTTAAAAATTAAGTTTAAGGGCCTGGGATTTAACTCAGTGGTTCTGCCACCTGCCTCACAAATGCAAGGTCCCAAGTTCGATCCTCAGTACCTCCCTGCCACTCACAAATGCAAGGTCCCAAGTTTGATCCCCAGTACCTCCCCGCCAAAAAAAGACAAAAATTAAGTTTAACCAATTTATTTTAAACATTGTTGAACTCTTACTGTGTTTTAGGAACTGTTTTGTTTTGTTTTTTTTCTTTATTTGTACTGAGGGTTGAATCCAGGGCCTTTGCACTGAGCTATATCCCCAGTCCTTTTCTGTTTTTTATTTTGAGATAGGGTCTCACTAGGTTGCCCAGGCTGGACTCAAACTTGCCATCTGTCTGCCTTAGTCTCCCAGAGTGCTGGGATTACAAGTGTGCCCCACGACACCCAGTGAATATTAGCTACTTTGGTATTCAGCAAATATTTAGCTCTCAGTACAGATGTATATAGCCTATTGTAATGAAGTCTTTTTTGGGTATTGGGGATTGAACTTGGGACCTTGTGCTTGTGAGGCAGGTGGCAGAACCACTGAGCTAAATTCCCAGCTCACAATGAAGTTTTTTTGATAGAATTTTTTTTGATATTTATTTCTGGATAATTTAATCATATTTAATATTTTGATCTGTATGTAACTGGTGTATTCTTTAGTGTCAGCATTATATATTTTATACCTGTGCCTATTTAAGTTCTTTAGAGAGTAAGGTTCTATGTAGATAATTTTCTTGTGCGTCTAGAATAATACTTTTTTTAAAACCAAAATATTATTTTAACTATTTGAGAAAAATATCTAAAGCATTTTGTTTTACCTACCTTTATTAGACCATATGTCTGAATAAAATCTAGAATTCTTGTGATTATTAATGATCCTTATTCTAAGTATCAGTTATTGAACTAAACTATAGATTGAAGCATAGGGGCTCTGAAATACTGTTTTTTAAAATCTCTTTTTGTGTAAGACTCTGGACTTCTGTGCTTTTTAGTACTTAATTTTGTTTTTCACTTATTTCCTCTTGGTGCCTGGTAGGCTACAGTTTTATCATTTCTTGCTGTTATGTTGGCCTGTGCAGCCTGTTTTTTTCCTGAACATATTGCACTTCTTAGCTGCTGTTGCTTAAAAGTGACTGAACTTTTTAAGTTTTGCTGATGATGAGAGGGGAGAGTCAGAATAAGGACCTGAGGTGCAGCTGTGACATTTATAATTAGATGTTGTAGAGAAGTTTCAAACATTGTATGTTCCACATTACTGTTCATGTCCTTCCCCATTGACACACACTGATTGCTCCTGTAGTTGTTCTTGGCTCAGTTAATGCCACTTCCTTTCTCCAGTGCTTACTTTGCCACTGTCCTCTCTTTTGACTCTTCTCTTTTTGTCATATCCCACATCCAGTCTCTTTAGAAATCATATCGTCTTCTTTGAGAATACATGATAGGATAAAAAAATACAGTGAATGGTTAATATTTATACCACACTTGATCTTAGCCAAAAGGTCGAGAAGTGATTATGTGGTTAACATTTATAACAGTGAGAGACACAGTGCCATTAATCCCCCTTAGAATGCACCCCCTCACTTTGATGAACACACCTCATCATTCTTGCCACTTTCTGAAGCAGTTCAGGTTGTATTTCCCACTCCCGCAGACTGATACTTCATCCATGTGTATAACATACTATAATTTACCTGTGTTTAATCCATCTGTTTTGCTGCATTAGGATGTGAGTTCCATGAGAGCAGTGCTTTTTTACTATTTGTTCAGTGATATTCAGTGCCTAGAATAGTACTTGGCACATATTGGTACTTAAGAATAAATATTTGCTGAATGAATAGATGAATTATAATCTGTAGACTTACAAATTTATGCAGTTAACCTTTCTTGTGGGCTATTACTCATCTCATTGTGGATGTTTGGATTTGTTTAATAAGTAGCATGAAAATATAAGGGAATTTTTATGCTTGCATATGTGGTAAGAAATGAATGTTTACATTAAGTTTTTTAAAGAATACTTTGGTGTTTTAATTCTTTTAGTTCTTTAATATTTTAAAGTACACACTATAGGGCTGGGAATTTAGCTCAGTGGTTCTGCTGCCTGTTTCACAAGTGTAAGGTCCCAAGTTCAATCCCCTGGCACCATAAATAAATAAAATAAAGTACACACTATAAAATGTCCTATTTTTTATTGAGATTTGAAAATTTAAGCACAGCTATCAATATTAATCTGTCAAAGAACAAAATATGCCTGATTTGATCTTTTTCTTGTATCTGTAGACACACTCTGTGCAGTTCTAGAAAGAGACACACTTAGCATTCGAGAAAGTCGACTTTTTGGAGCTGTTGTACGCTGGGCAGAAGCAGAATGTCAGAGACAACAACTGCCAGTGACTTTTGGAAACAAACAGAAAGTTCTAGGAAAAGCACTTTCTTTAATCCGCTTCCCACTGATGACAATTGAAGAGTTTGCAGCAGGTAAGACTGTAACTTCACTAAAGTCTGCTTTTCTTCTTACTGTTGTTTGTGTTTTTTAAGACAGGGTCTCTCTACAGGTGTGTGCCACCATGCCTGGCTCATTTAAAATTATTTTACTAGTCTCATTGAGCCAGAGAGAAAAAGCAGCTAGGGTATTTATTGAGTACTTGTCACATCTGAGCCTCCTGAGTAGTAATTTTTGCTACTTTAGAAGTGATGTATCCCTTTGTGTTTTTAAGATTTCACATTGCCTTTGGTTTTGAGCGGTTTGCTGATAATGTACCAGTGCACCCTTTCACATGACGTACCTTCTGGAAGTCTTTATTTTGATTCACCCCTCTGTGTTGACTGGGGTTGCATTGTTTAATGTTTTTCAAGGACTGAAGACTTCTCAAATATAGGGGATATTTTCTCTCACTTTAGGCTTGAATTATTTTCACTTCTTCAGGACCACTGGTTACTGCATGTTGTTCTTCCCTTTAATCACCTTAAACGTTTTCTTTGTTTTATCTTAGTCCTTATCATTCATTCTTAGTCCTTATCATCCTTCTCAGAATGAGTTTTCAACCTCATCTCTCTTTTGATCTTATGTAGTTTCAGTTTTGGGGGATTTCTTTTTCTTTCTTTTTGGCTAAAATACAGATTTTCAGGTTTTTTAAGACAGGGTTTCACTGTGTGGTTGAGATTGACCTGGAACTCACTATGTAGCCCAGGCTGGTCTCGAACTCACAACAATCTTTCTGCCTCAGCCTCCCTCAGTTTGGTTTTATTTGTCTTTTATAATATTTCCTTATCCACAGATAGTAAACAGTGAACCTTGGGCCATATTAAACAAGCTGACAGATTTTGTAATATTTAAATTTTCTAATCTCATTTTTTAAATTAGTAAGGCTTTCTAAACCAATTTCTAGTGTGCACACATCTTAGTGTCACTTTGGTTGCTTTTACTAAACTTAAAGGTGTTATGTGGCATGGATAAGTTTAAGGTATTTGTGTTTTTCTTTTCTGAGACAGTGCATGGGAAAAAAACATATATGGTATGCTGCTTCTGCAGCTCTCCCAGTCACACAGACTTCTGATCTGCTAACTTCTACAACCCTGAAAGAAAGCACTGTTATCTGTCTTTTACCATCTTTAAAGATATCCCATTACTGGGGCCGGGGATTTAGCTCAGTGGTGCCACTGCCTGCCTTGCAAACACAAGGACCCAAGTTCGATCCCTGGTACCCCCCAAAAAAGATATCCCATTCCTTGAACCACAGGAGGTATTAGGAGGAGAACTCTGGCCACCTTTGTGAGCAGTCCCACTATAGGGGTGGCTCCTGCCAAACACTTGGGGTCAATTGATAGAAAGATCCAGAGAAGTTTCTATAATTCAGTGTTTTATATCTAAGCTTTGTCTTGCTATCACATATATATATTCTTTTAGGATAAACTCAAATGGATTTATTGAAACTTTGCATATATACTGAAGTGATATATGCCAAGAAGATTTCCCTCCCTGTCCCCCCCCCCAGGGATGGAAGTCAGGACTTTGTACTTGCGGGTGCAGCATGGTGCCACTGAGCTAAATTCCTGCCCTTGTTCCATGTTTTTACGTTTTCCAGATTTGAATTTTATCTCATTAAGTGGAGTAGTTGTTTAAACTCAGATTGCTTTCACTGAGCTTTATAGTTGTGTTCTGCAGGTCCTGCTCAGTCTGGCATCTTGTCAGACCGTGAAGTGGTGAACCTGTTTCTTCACTTCACCGTTAACCCCAAGCCCCGAGTGGAGTACATTGACCGCCCACGGTGCTGCCTGCGGGGCAAGGAGTGCTGCATCAACAGGTTCCAGCAGGTGGAGAGCCGCTGGGGCTATAGCGGGACCAGCGACCGGATCAGGTAGCCATCCAGTCCAGTGCTCTGGGCATTCATCCTCATACCTCACCATTAGCCTTGTCCTCAGACTTGGGAGGTGCCTATGATCTTACCTTATGCTTTCTTTGCTTTGTACATTTTAAAATTAATATAATAGTATAGTCGAGAAGTCGATAAGGCACTCTTGTCTCCTCTCTGAATTGTGAGGGTGACCTCTTAGGAAATAAAAGGCAGAAGGATTAGGTGGGGCCTTTAGTTATAGGAAGTCTGTTTGGATTACCACTGCTGGTTCTAGTCCTAGCTATTCAAATACTGCTTTTACAAGCTTAAGGCTATAATTTAGTCAATTTTACTTTAGTAATCTGAGTGCTTTAAGATTTTTTCTGTGAATAGATGCTGTGTGTAAAACATCTCAGTATACATGTGTAAAAGTTTTTGGGGAAAAAAACTCCAGATTCGTAGCTGGGCATGGTGGCACACTTGGGAGGCTGAGTCAGGAGGACTGCCCCAAGTTCAAGGCCAGCCTGCACTACATAGCAAAACCCTATCTCCAAACAAAGAGGAAAAAAAAAATCAAGATGCATGAAAAACGCCTACATACAACCTTGTTGATGTATTTATCTTTGCTGTACTCTAACTCTTTAGGTTAAATGTCAAAATAGAATTAGTGCCAGTTCTCATAAAATATCCCTTTTGGCTTTTCAGTTATTTAATAGCACTTTAGTATAATACTAGTCATTAACAACAACTTTATTAAATAGAGCTCCATTTGAGTGGGGGACTGTTATAAATTCTTGGGTTAAAATGGAAGTTTACTTTTAGGGTCCCCCACACGCACACTCCTGGTGCTTGAAGATCTAACCCAGGGCCTCACATGTGCCAGGCAAATGCTTTACCACTGAGCCACATCCCCAGCCCTTAAAATGGGAACATAAAATGTATTTGTTAATCACTCACAGTGAGGAGAACTTACAGGATGAGGCCAAAGCTGCACACAAAAAGTAACAATTTAGTAAATTAGAAATAAATTACCTAGGCATTAAATCAGGATAGCTAGACTATATGGACATCAAGGGAACCAGAACACTAACAAAAGAGAAAGGAAACAGGTAACTACAAAAATGAGTGGATTAAAACTAGTAGAACTGGGCCGGGGATTTGGCTCAGTGGTTCCGCCGCCTGCCTCACAAATGCAAGGACTGGAATTCGATCCCTGGTACAAAAAAAAAACCTAGTAGAACTGACAGACCCATAAAAAGATCAGTAAAATAAACTTCTGGCGAGTATAATTAAAAAATTCACATTCAGAAATCCAAATGGGAATATAAGAATATGCTAAGAGTTTAATTCTGGGCCTACTCTGTGCTAATAAATTGAACATCTTGATGGAATGGATCATTTTATAGGCAAATATAAATTATCAAAGTTGACTGAAGAAGAAAGCCTGAATAGACCATTTACCATGGAAGGAATTAAAAGTTGTCAAAGACCTGTCCCTTCGCCAGGTGGTTTTTACAGGTGAGTTTTAATGAAACATTCAAGGAACTCATGGCTTCCTTGGGCATTAAAAGAAGAAAATACTTCTTGATTAGTTATTGAAGGATGCATAATCTTTATGTTTGAGTCTAACAAGATGAAAAATAGATCAGCCTCATTTATAATATGAAAGAAAAATTCAACATTAAATGTTGGAACATTGAACGTAGCAGTACCAAAAGAGAATAATACTATATGAGGAAATAGATTATTTGGAGGATGGAAAAATGGCTCAATGCTACGAAATAGCAGACCGAAAGAGAAACAATTTGATTTTAATAGATATCAAGAATTGATAAAATTTCACCTTTATTGTAAATATAACTATTGACAGATTAAAAGAAAATTTTAATATGATAGATTATTGAAACCTCAAGATAAATACTATCTTGTTTTGCATCAGTGTTCCTATAGTTCTCATTAATAGTCATTAAAAAAATAAAGAAATTAGAGCTTTAAATATTGGAAGAGGCCTTTTTTCATTATTCACAAGTGGCAGGTACATTAGTAGTTCCAAATCCATCAAACCTGATTTGTTCTTTTTTTACAATACATTTTTATTTGGTAAATGAGCTAGTTTTAAAGAAGAAATAAATTTAGCAGTATAATTAAGTATATAAGTACATACTTCACTGTGTAGATGTTAAGCAGTGACAGCGCTAGAGGACAAACTGAAGTGGCCTGATGCAGTAGCCCTGTATTTCAGCATGATGAGACAGCTTCAACTGCAGGGTACAGGCACAGTATGTGATGTTTCCAGGTAAAACAGTTGAATCGATTGTTTATTCTTGTTTCCGTATTTGTGAACTTGCCTGCTGGCTGAAATGTATTTGTAACTCCAGTCACTTTCAGCTAGTGACTTTAGTTGCTGCACCAGCATGTCCCCAGGCAAGTGGAGGTCCTGCCTTGTTGAGCTCTCCTATGGGGATTAAGGAAGTAGGGGCATTGTAGTGCAGTGCAGGGAACTCTGGCCTATAGGCCAGTTGGACCCCAGCTGTGACACCTGTTGGTGGGACAGCCTCAAGCAAGTCACTACTGCTGAGGTTTCTTGTTTGTAAAATAAAGCAAATAAAATCTACTAGGACCTGTTGTTTTAGGGTTTAATATGGTCAGTATATGTCTGCATACGTATGTCTGTATTTTCTCAGTAGCAGTGGTTCAATTATTTGCTAATTCTATGTATGCAGCAGTTTTGTAGACTATAACTTCCACAAAGAACTGACTATAGACTATTTCTTCTACCTATGTTGTAGTTCCTTCTTTAAAAAATCAATGAACATTTAAATTTATTAAAAAGTCTTTGATCTATACATAAAGTGAAGTCAGTTTTAAAACTTACAAACAAATTTTCTCCCTGTGTGAGTCTCTGTGCGCTGCAGGGAACCTCTACCCCTGGCTCCTGGCCAGTGGGGCTCTTGCACCTTTGTGAGGATGAAGGATTCCTCCCTGATGGTGGAGCTCCTTTGGGGAACAGTTGGTCTACCTGATTAACCTCAGGATCAGCTCAAAAAAGTTGTTGAAAAGAATAGGCCTTGCTTATATAAAGTATATTTGAGAATTGTCATTCCTGTGTGCTATCAGAACTCAGTTTCAGGCATGAATAGTGGCTAACAGTTGTAAAATGATTTGAATGTATTTTATACCCTGGAACTTAGAAATGATTGAAATGGAACATATACATAGATGTGTATATATATTTATAAAACCACAATAAAAACTTTTTGAATGTAAAACTGTTCATTTATAACATGAAGTGAATATTATGTAACATTTGGTATAGCATATTGCTATATTATCCTAGTAATAGTACATATTACTTGTCACATTGAAGAAGCCAGTAGTGACAGATGTGACAGATGACAAAGCAGTAGGATTAAACAGAAGAGTATAGCAAGTACCTTTAGGAAGGCCTGGAGAGCTCCAGCTAGAGCAGGCTTTGGAAAGGACAGTATCTGCCTAATTACCTATGTATATTCACAGTTTCTTTCAAAACAGAGTTTTTGGTAGAGAGAAGTGACCTGGAAACACTATTTCAAAGTTAATACAGAAGAATAAATTCTCTTTTAAAAAGAGTGGTACTGGACTAGGGTTCAGCACAGTGGTAGAACACTTGCCTAGCATGTGCCAGGCCTTGGGTTCAAACCCCAGTACTACAAAAGAAGAGTGCTACATAGTCTGTTGCAGTGGCACACATCTGTAATCCCAGCTACTTAGGAAACTGAGGCAAGATCTGAAAGTTTGAGGCCAGCCTAGGTAACTGAATAAGACCCTGTCTCTAAAATTAGAGTGGAAGAGTGATATAGATGAAACATGAAAAGGTATTTATCTGTCTGTTAAAAATTTAGTGTTGTATGGAACAGACTGTAGAGGTCAGAAACTAACTTAACATAAATGAGCATTCAGAGCATGATTACAATGAGGGAAGGATTAACTACTGAGAAAATAAAGTCAGAGCCTTACTGCTCCCGTGTACCAATACTCATACAAATTAAACCTTTAACATTAAACAAAAAGGAAACTACAAAAACTGGAAACAGTGAATGTTTTACTTTGAGGATGAGATGAGCCTCTCTAAACTTGGCCAAGATCATAACTTAGCTGCATATAATTGAAAATGTTATGTCCAAAATCATCATCAAGTTAAAAGGTAGATGACAAATATGAAATTTTGTAACAGATATAAACAGTGAACAATACATAACCTTCATCTGTATGCAGTATACTCTTTCATTACATTAAATAGACAAACTCACTAGATGTGAAAAGAACATGAAGAGCATTTGATTAATGAGAAAATCCAGTGGGTAGCATATGAGCAAATATTTTACCTCACTAATGAAGTATAAATGGAATTTTTCAGTCATCTTTCTCAAAAGCAAAAGGAAATTAAAATACTCATGGTTGAGCGAGACAAATTATCTGTACTCCCCCTCCCCCCATTTTTGTTTTTGTTTTTGGTACTGGGGATTGATTTCCATGACTCACAATTCCAGGCTGGCCTTGAACTCAGGTAGCCTAGGCTAACTTTGAACTTGGAGCAGTCCTCCTGCCTAAGCCTACAACAGGCGTGTGCCTTCATACTCAGCTAGATCTATAGGAGTACAGCGTGTCAATCATTCCAGGAAGTAATATGACAGTGTCTATCTAAAGCTGTAAGAATGTTCCTTTCATTTTTATCAGCGGTTCTACTTCTAGAAATGTAATATAAGAAAATAATTAAGGTTTAGTAAGATGGTTTCATTCTAAACCATGGCATTATCATATAAAAACTGGAAATAAGTCAGGTGTGATGGCACTTACCTGTTATTCCGGCTGTCGGGAGACTGAGGCAGGCGGATGACTGTGACATGGAGGCCAGCCTGGGCTTCATAGTGAGTTTAAGACCAGCATAAACTATATTGCAAGATCTTGTTTCTAAAACAAGAAAATCCTACAGGTAACTTAGATTATCTTACCAAGGGATTGGTTAGGTATAATGAGACGGTACACACACACACACTCACACACACACACACACACACACACACACACACACTGTTATGGTTTTATTACATATATTTTCATAGAATAGTAAAAAAGAAATGCAAAAGGTTGACACAACTAACTCTGGAATTATGGATGCTTTAAGCTTTTTGCATTTGTTTCATTGCATGTTCTGAGGTGTTTTGATTTGGTGCTGGGGATTGAACTCAGGTCCTGATGCACACTAAGCACATACTGTACCACTGAATATATACCCTTGGTCCATTTCCTCATTTTTAAAAACAGTTAAGTATATGGCTTATATATAATAAAGTATTATAGGCAATATATTAGCAAAATTTTAACATGGTCCTCTTCTTGTAACTGGATGGGGTTAAAGAGCATTTGATCTAAAAAGACCTAAAGTTGCATCCCAGGCTTGCCATACTTTTTGACCAGGGCAAGTTCATTCTAACTTGTTTCTTTCTACTTTTATCTTGCTCCTCCTCCCCTTTCTCTTCTTTTCCTTCCCTGCCCTTTTCTCTCTCCTTCTCCATTCCTCCTCCCTCTTTGGTTCAGAGTCACTACGTATTACCCAGGCAGGTCCCAAATGTGTAGGCACAAATGGACCTTCCACCTCAGCCTCCTGTGTAGCTAGAGCTATAGGCTTGCACCACCACACCTGGCTTAAACCTGTTTCTGTAGCTCTAAAAACTTAGGATGATAAAAGTAGTATAATTAACTACTGTGTAGGGATGCTACAATGATTAAAGAAACTCATGTAAGAACTGAAACTCAGGGCTTGGCACTTTAGGAAGTATTAAGTGGTGGTGGTGTGCAAGTAGTAGCAATAATAATTGAATTTGCGGCTGAAAACATTGAGAATTACTTGTTTTGCATCACAGATTGTCTGTTAGTTGGTTTTATAGATATTTAATGTCAGTTTTTATACATGTATAAAATAGAGTAAGATAGGCCACTTTCTTAGCTGTTATAACCAAACTGGATTTGCTAATTACTCTGATTATGTAATCCTTAGTTGAGTTTAAGTGTATGAGTTAGGTAGGTCCTGTCCCTATCTCTCTATTATATCAGTTTCCTTTTCCACAGCTCTTATCACAATTATTATTTATCCTTTTTTTGCTTCTCATCATTGTTTGCCATTAGGCTAAAATGCCCAGTAGGGATAAAAACTCTTATCTTGTTGACCGTTAATTTCCCAGTGCCAAGACCAGTACCTAAATGTGTTGGGTACTCAGATAGTATTTGTTGAAATTATGAATTGTCCTGGTTAGAGATAATGGGCTTCAGTCCTAATGGCTGGCACGGCTGTTTTCCTGAAAGAGATACATAAACATGTTTGGACTAATAACAGGACTACAATTATCATGACAGCAAACGTGGGTAAAATATTGTCTAGCATGTGTGAGGCCCTGAGTCTTCCCTAATATAGGAAAACAAAAAGTGGGTATTGAGGTTGAGTTCCCTTTATGTTACAGGAAGCAAATTCTACTTACAGTCCTGTTAACTTCACATTTACTTTAGAAAGAAAAGTTTTTGTAAGCAAACAAGATGGCATTTCTAAGGATATCTGTTTGATCAGTGATAGTTTTCTTTTTTGTAACCAAAATTGGATCCAGGTAATACTTTGTAAATTATAATCCTGCAGAATATGAACATTTGTAGATGGTTCGTTGTTTTATTTTGGCTCCTTTCTCTCAGGTTCACAGTTAATAGAAGAATCTCCATAGTTGGGTTTGGCTTGTATGGATCTATCCATGGTCCCACGGATTATCAAGTGAATATACAGGTACACTTTTTCCTCCATTATTTACAAACATGTACAAGAGCACAATAAAATATTGTCTTGAATGCCGGGGATGTAGCTCAGTGGTGCTGCCACCTGTCTTGCAAGTGCAAGGTCCCGAGTTCGATTCCCAGTACCAAAAAAAAAAAAAAATACTATCTTGATAGAAATCCACATTCCAATATAATTGTCAAAGGAATCAGGAAGGCCATTAATCACATTTTAAGTGTAGAGGTACAGTATTAAAGTTTTAAACAACCTGGTTGCAAAAAATTGAGGTCCTTCCTATAAGCGTTAGCATAGCAGGAGTTCTCCTTCTTCAGGAGACCTCTGCTGTGTGTTAACTGTCTTAAAGTACTTTTTACCTTTCTCATGGTACTTTGAACTTTAGGACCTTAAAACTGTCTCCTTACTTCAAACCGTTGGGAAACCACTTTGGCCTGTGAGTGTCTGACCAGACCCACCTCATTCTTTAGGTCTGCTGCACCTCCTCCTTTCAGAGAGGGTGCAGGTTACCTAACCAGAAAGGCAGTCAAACACCTCTCTCCTTCCACTGTCCCTTCAATAATTGAGTGTTTTCACTGCTCTTTATTGCAGACCCTAATTAGTAGAATTGTTTTTGAAAAGATACATATATATTGTTTTGTTTTGTTTTGGGACCAGGGATTGAACTTGGGTCCTTGCACTTGCGAGGCAGGCAGCGGAACCACTGAGCTGGCCCTTGTATGTGTATTTTCTACATAAATTAAAACATGAAAAATATAGAAAAGGAAATTATCAACCAAAAATGAAAACACCTGGCTTCTCTAAAATGTTAATAAGTATATTATTTTTATAGTAAAGCTTTAGTAAGCTTTGTAATACAAATTCTTTATTTGCTTTTAACACGTTCATAGCAGGGCCTCGTCTGGGAGGCCGAAGCAGGAAGATCACAACTTCAAGCCCAGCCTGAATGACTTAACATGTTCACTCGGCAGTCTCACTGCCAGGTGGCTCTGAATCACTGGTGGTACCTGCATGACTGTCTCATTGGGTGGTACAAACAGCCTTTTGGGGCAGTCATGCATACCTCTGGTGGTTATGTTAAGTGAGATATGTTAAGTGAGACCCTGTCTCAAAAAATATATATATTATGAGGGCTAGGGATGTAGCTCTGTACGAAGTACTGCTAAAAACAAATCCACAAAGTCTAAATGCTGTTATCAAAAGTAAACAGAAGAGCTCTCTTCATTTCCTTCCCCCATGGCCAGTCTCATGCCTGTTCCAGTGGTGTCACCACCACTTGTATCTTAGTTACTTTTCTTGTTGCTGAGACAAAATACCCAACACCCAAAGTTAAAAGAGGAAAGGTTTATTTAGCTTACAGTTCATAGATGTTTCAGTCCATAGTTGACTGGCTCCAGGGCCAGAGTGGCACATGGCAGAAGGACATTTCAGAGAACTACAGTTCATGGTTCCCACAAGGTAGCAAAAACAACAAGAGATCTTCCCAGGGTCTTTCTGCCCCTTTTATCCAGACTCATGGGATTGGGGTGGTGCCAAACCAATCAATGGACTGATTTAATAATCATATACCCTTAATCCCAGGGTCACACACTCTTGATTCAGTCACCTCTGAGAAAGCCACCTGTGACTGCCTGAGGCTTTGGAGAGAGATCTAGGCATAAACCATAATGACCTGTTCCCTTGTGTTCCAGGTGGCCAACTTGAATGCCAGTCAGGGCATAGGCAGATCAAACTAATGGCTTGGTAATAGACAGCAGGGGTAAGGAGAAATGAGTTGTGGGATATGGAATATTTAAAGGGCAGCCATTCCTTAGCTCTTGCCAGAAATTACAGTGTGATAATAAAAGCCTAAAGTGAAGGATTTTATGTGAAATCTTTCCAGGATTCATTTTTAAGCATTGACCAATAATTTGACATCTTTAGAATCACCAACACCATGCAGGTTGTGTGAAGCTATAACAGGAGTATATGTTAGAAGCATCTAGAGGGCTTTTTCATCCAGAGGGCCTGCCTGGGTCTTTACCCCAAAGAAAGAGGTAAAGAGAGTGAAGCTAGCACTATTTAAGTAGCAGATAGGAGCATTGCCAGGATGGCCTTTTGTTGTGAAAGTGCCTGTCTCCATCTGCTTGTTTCCTGGAGAGCCACTTCTTACACGTAAGAGAGCCACATCCTTCTTAAGACACAGCTGTGGCTTAGTCCCCAGTATTAGGTGACATTGCCAGGGTCTCATGTTTTAGCAGGGTGGACACGCTGGTTTTGAAGATTTAGAAAGCCATTGCCAAACCACTTCCACTACCACTAGCTCTGGGGACCATAGGGAAAGAGGTCAAATTCCCAGGGCTGTAGCAGTTATTTAATGATCCTTTTCTTCCTGTCTTCCATTAGCCCAGAATGGAAGTGTACAGAAGCTCCTGGAGGCCCTGGGTGGCTTAACCAGTGTGGGGCACAAGGAGAGAACTAAAGTGAAAAGACAAATTTTACTTTTTTTTTTTTTTTTTTTTTTTTTTTTTTTGGTTTTGAGACAGGATCTCACTATGTAGTTGAGACTGATCTGGAACTCACTCTGTAGCCCAGGCTGGTCTCAAACTCACAGTGATCTAAGTGCTAGGATTACAGGCATGCACCACCATGCCCGGCTCAAATTTTACATTTTTAACATTGACAAATGTATTGCTTTAAGCTCATTTATAATTCCAGTAAATAACATTGAAACATGAGAAATGTTAATGGGAATTTTCCTAGCATCACTGCACAGGGTAGCAAGGAGTAAAGATCCACTTCCCCCAATGTGGAAAATGTGCACATTCTGTAATCTACACCACAGCAGCTCACCTCTGTACAGCTGAGCTTGGGTTCTTCACATCTTCCCCATCCTCACTGTGACAAATGAGAAATGGCCATTTTCTGGCAGCATGCCTGAAGGCATTTTTGGTAGTTAGAAGTAAAAAGAGAAAAATGAGAGGTTTAGTAGTCTGTTCTGCTAATTCAAAGGGCTTCATATTCTTCTCTGTAAAATTTTATTTCAAGTGGTTTAATTTAAATGTATCTTCTCTTTTAAAAATTACAGATCATCGAATATGAAAAAAAACAGACTCTGGGACAAAATGATACTGGGTTTAGTTGTGATGGGACTGCTAACACATTCAGAGTCATGTTTAAGGAGCCTATAGAGATCCTGCCCAACGTGTGCTACACAGCATGTGCAACACTCAAAGTAAGGCATTCAGAGCGTCCCAGGGCCATGCATGTTGGGCCTGTGGTTTCCTCTTTATGTGTGTGTGCACTAAATTAATTGGGCTGGGCTTGAACTTGTGATCTTCTTGCCTCAGTCTCCCTGAGTGCCAGAATCACGAGAGTGTGCCACCATGCCCAGGCCAGGGCTTCCTCTTGATTGTTGCAGAAAGCATGTTTTAGAAGCAAACAGGTCAGTCATAGTAAAGCTTTTAGAAAGGAGTGAGGAGGCTGCATTAAGAAAAGCAGTGCATCTTTGCACTGCTCTGTTCTGAAAGGTTTTACATAAGGGGCCCTTTGTTCAAGTAGTACATTAAATGTTTACAGAAGACAAAATAACTGTTCTTTAAAATGTTTTCAGTATTCTGTAATGGCTGAGCTCTGCATCTCGTATTTTTACTTAATAGCTCCTTAGCAAAAATTTCATTTTTCATTAAATGATTTAGCATAAAAGTTCATGTAGGAGCTATAATAAATAGACCTTTAATCTAATTATACTAAGTTAACTTCAATGCTTAATAAATGAAAATTGCTAATGAACCTTTGTTTCTGTTTAGGGTCCGGATTCCCACTATGGCACAAAAGGGCTGAAGAAAGTCGTGCATGAGACACCTGCTGCCAGCAAGACCGTTTTCTTCTTCTTTAGTTCCCCTGGCAATAATAATGGCACTTCAATAGAAGATGGACAAATACCAGAAATAATATTTTATACATAATTTAGCATTATAATACATCACATCTTGGCTAAATAGTACCTACCACACAATCTAGACTCAGACATACAAACAACTGGCCACAGAAGAAACAGTTTGAGTATCATGAATATTTATGATTGTAAGATAAGAAACATTTTAGTTTCTTAGAAGTAGAGAAATGTTTATTTAAATCTCTGCATGAATTAAAGGCAGATTTTCCACTTTTTTTGTCACCTTAGGGGGAAAAAGCTGGGTTTGTGTAAAAAAAAATGCAGCTGTTTCAGCTGCTTCCTGTATCATTTCATAGTCAGCCGCCTAATGATCTTTCAATAGTTTTGGAATTGAAAGATTCTTGTTACACATAGCCAGTTTGGTTTTTTTTATTTTTAACTTTTGAAAGTAGATGAAATGGGTCAGTATCCTATAAACTCAGATAACTAATTTCAGAAAATTAGGAAAATTGGCTCTATATTTGAGATTTTAAAATATCTGCTTGCTAACATTTGGAGTAATGCTAAAAATAGGCCTAATAATGCCCAAGAAAATTTTCAGTGCATTTATAGAAAAGGATATTTTATAACAGTGTAGTAATGTGTTACATAGTGTAGTGTTCAAACTATAAATGGATTTTGTGTACATTCACAGTAATGTGGTATATGCAAAGTCTCTAAAGGTGTGACATAAGCCTGGATCTTTATCATTCAGCTGTATCACCTTCCCTGCCTGTCTGTATGGGGTGGGGTGCTGCTGAGTTCCAAGACTGAGCTGATGGTGGTGACTGATGATTGTTTAAAGATACTACTTCAACTTTGTGATTGTTCCACACAGCAAGAAATGGAACATGGTTACTAACATTTCTAATAGCTACTTTGAAATTATAAAACTATCCAGCAGAGTCACTCCTGCCAAACAGTACGCTTTTTGTCACATAGTTCTATTCGAGAAGTAAAATATCTTTAACATTTGTGACCTCATGAATGTGACCACATCTTACATTAGGAGGAAGTAGGAAATATATACAATAGAGTGACATTTATACACTTTTATATACAGCAGATTTTTAAAATATAAGTAACTTCCCTTGAAAGTGACTATCCTAAAAAAACTTGTGTAATTAAGCTTAAAGTATATTAGATCTTTGTGGAAGATGACAAAAAATTCTTCAAGTATCAAAGAATTTTTTCTAAATAGGAAACAAAAATTTTTCATCAAAAGTACTATTTCATTATACATTTTTAAGAAGGTAGTGAGATGTGTTGATAGCCAAGGTCCATTGAAATTGAAGAAAAGGGAAATTTTTGTGTCTCGGGTACCATGTCCTTGTGGATATAACTCACTTTGCAGGAATACCTATGGAATGTATGGTTCTGGTTAACTAAAGATTAACTTCAAACATTCAGTAGTAACCATTACCAAAAAGTACTTCTGTCTTTAAAAGTATGGTATGCCAGAGATAGGTTAGTGGGAGATTTGGGGGTTTTAGGCATTTCACATGCCTTCTGTGTTATACTGAACACGTGTAACTGAAAGTAGCCATAGAAGGTACGTACAAGAAACAGAACTCTACTGACATTGGGAAAATCACCTGGAATTTTACAAAAATAAATGTATATTATCCTTTATTTGTTTACTTTTTCATTTGTCCTCAAAGTTGAATGTAAGACACCATTTTGTAACAAAGGTTCTAGTTAATTGGCGTTTGTTTTTAAATAATGCAATACAAAATAAGAATGCATATCTAATGCTGGAAGCCAGTCACAGGAACTGCAGCAGTGTAACAATTTCTCAATTTTTTTTTTTTTTTTTTTTTTTTTTTTGGTTTTTGTTTTTTTGTTTTTTTGAGACAAGTCTCACCATGTAGTTGAGACTCATCTGGAACTTGCTATGTAGCCCAGGCTGGTCTCGAACTCACAGCAAGCCTCCTGCCTCAGCCTCCTGAGTGCTGGGATTACAGGCATGCACCACCTCACCCAGCTCACAATTGTTTTTTAATAATTACAGTGACCTGAATGACTGCTGCACATCTGGCTGTGCAATATGTACTTTATATTCATTGGCACACAGTGGTATAAGGAAAGGATTATTACAATACCAGCTATAGGTACATTAATGTTTTTTTCATTTGGAGCTGTAAAATTTTTGCTTTGTTTTTAATTTTTTGTCTTGCTATGCAGTTCAGGCTGGTCTGAACTCCCTGAGATCCTCCTGCCACAACCTCCTGAGTGCTGGAATTACAGGCATGTGTCAACATGCTCACCTTTTAAAATTTTCATTAGTACATGTTTTCAGTACATAATGTTTATACTTGTGAGGAGGTGGTACAAATTCATAACACATCGTCATTCTTTTTTCATCCCCTTCCTCTCCCCTCCCTCCCTCCATCTCTTGGTCCCCTTTTGCAGAAGATCTCCCTATTTCCTGTTGTCTTTTATTTTGCTCTTTAAGTTATTTATACTTTGGGTTTATGAGAAACCTTTTGATATTTAAGCTTAGATGTCTGATTTGACAACATGGATTTCCTATAAATGGCTCATTTATCTTTTATAGCAGTATGGTACTCCATTATGTATAAATACCACATTTTAAAACTCGATAGACATAACAGCCCATGACCAAGGTATGAGTTGTGCTACTATAAACATGGGTGTGCATGTATCATTGTAATATGGTATTTTTAAATCTGGAAGAGATCTGGAAGGAGAATATCTGAGTTGAATGAGATTTCTCTTTTTTTTTTTTTTTTTTGGAATCTCTATACTGATTCCCATAATGGTTATACTAGTTTACATTCCACCCAACAATGGAGAAGGTTTCCCCTCGCCCCACCTCTTGCAGCCCCATATGCAGTTGTTTGATTTCTTGATGATAGTCATTCTTCCTGGAGTAAGATAATTTCTGTTTTAATTTGCATTTCTCTAATAGTATTTTTTTTTTTTTTTTTTTTTTTTTAGTGGTACCAGGGATAGAACTTGGGACCTTTCACTTGCAATGCAAGGTGCAGCACCACTGAGCTAAATCCCCTGGCCCAATTAACTTTTTTCCCCCCTTGTATTTATTGGGCAATTGTATTTCTGAAGTGTATTCATTTCATTTGCCCACTTATTGATTGGATTTTTTAGGCATCTAATTTTTTAATTCTTTATATATTTTAGACATTAGTCCTGAGGAGTAGCTGGCAAAATTCCCTGCTTTGTAGATTGTCTCTTCACTGTATTGGATGTTTCTTTTGCTGTGCAAAAGCTTTTTGATTTGATAGAAACCCATTTGTTGATTCTTGATGTTATTTCTTAACCAACTGTCGTTCTGTTTAGAAAGTTTGTCTACACCTATGATTTCAAGAATTTTACCTAATTTGTTTACCAGCAAGTTAAGTTTTTCTGTTTTAACATGTAGGTATTTGATCCGTTTTGATTTTAGTTTAGTATATGGTGAGAAATGTGGGACTGGATCTAATCTGCATGTGGATAGCCAGTTTTCCTAGCACCACTTGTTAAGGAGGAGGTGATCTTTTCTCCAGTGTGTATCTTTGGCTCTTTTGTTAAAGATAGCTGAGTGTGGAGTTAATTTCTGCATGCTTTATTTTGATCCATTGATCCACATGCCTTTTTGTACCTGTACTATGATGTTTTTGTCACTGTAGCTTTGTAATATAACTTGAAATTTGGGATTGTGGTACCTCCTGCTTTGCTCTTGCTTAGGATTACTTTTGCTAATCTGGGTGTCTTTTGGTTCAATATAAATTTTAGGATTGTTTTCTCTAGTTCTGTGAGGAGTGCTGTTGGTAATTTGATTGGTATTAAATCTGTATGACCATTTTGACAGTGTTGGTTCTGCCTATTCAGAAACAGAGATAGCCTTTCATTTTCTGATGTCCTTTTCTATCTCCTTTTTCAGAATACTATAGTTTTCATTGGCAAAGGTCTTTCACTTTCGGTTTTAATTTTTCTTGATAATATTGTGAATGGTAGTGTTTTCCTAATTTATTGGTGAGTTCATTATTGGTGTAGAGAACACTTGATTTTTTTATGCATTGATTTTTGTATCCTGTTAACGTTGCTAAATTTTGTTATTCTAGGAGTCTTGCTAGAATGTCGTATCTTTTATGTAAAGGACCTTGTCTCTGCAAATAACAATAATTTTACTCTTCCTTTCTTATATGTATCCCTTTTCTTTCTTTTGCCTGACTGCTCCAATGTTTTGAGTACAGTCATTTCTTGTTTAACAACTAAGTTATATTCCTGCAACTGGGTTATTAAATGAATTGGTCATTAAGTGAGGAATATAATGTATGTATATGGTATATACATTACAATATTCAGAACAAAGAAATGGTCAAAAGGAAACTTCAATTTGATGACTTTGCTTTTATTTGCATAACTTACATGCAGTACTGTAATATATATCAACATAAAACTATAGTACTGTATAACAATCAAAAAATTAAAATAGTGAAGACCATACAAAAAAGACATTGAGTCTCTTTAAACAAGATATACAGCACTGTACCAAAGGCGGGGGGTGGTCATAAGTCTAAGTGGCAGGTTGTAAGTCCAAATAGTGCACCCTGGTCATAGGTCTGAACATTTATTCAGCAGGTAGGTTGTTAAACCAGGAATATTTGTACTGTATTGAACAAGGGTGGTGATACCTTGTCTGCTTCCTACTTTTAGAGGGAAAATTTGCGGTTTTTTCCTATGGTGTTGGTCACTGGTTTGTCATAAATGGCTTTTATCAGCTTGTGATAAGGTCCCTCTATGGCTGTTTTCAAGGTTTTTATCATGAATGGAGATGTTGGGTTTTGTCAAAAGTTTTTTCTGCATTTATTGGTATGCTTGTGATTTTTGTCCTTGGTTCTGTTATGTGGTGTTTCACATTTATTGATTTGCATATTTTAAGCCATCCTTGTACCCCTGAAATGAAGCCTGCTTGGTTATGATGCGTGATCTTTTTAATGATTTGTTGCATTCAGTGTGCCAGTATCTTATTAGGAAATTGGCATCTGTGTTCATTAAAAGATTGGCCTATGTATTTTTTTAGTTGAGTTCTTATCTGGTTTTGCAATAAGCTTCCAGGAATGAGTTTGGCAGTAGTCCATCCTCTCAATTTCATTAGTTTGAGGAGAATTGGAATCCACAGATAAGGGAGAGGATACAGTCACTACTAAGACCCACTTTATTTCCACACTCAAATGTTTTTGTGTGTGAACCCTGAATCCTGTCTTGTCTTTTTTGCTGGACGTGGTTAGTCAATGGTGTCTGCCAAATAGCTTTCATTCCACCTGTCCCTAGTTTCTGTGTCACTCTGTGTGCCCCATATTGCAGCTTTGTGCAGTTTTATGGCCTGAGGATTGGTGAGGTGCTTCTGTTGCTCAGAGTGCCCTGTCTATACCCTAGGCTATGGCAGCTGTTCAAGACTACATGCATTCCTGGTAACACTGTCCCTCCTCACACCATTAACATCTCCCCATTCTTAGCTACTGAAAGAAATTCCAGCTTCTTCCACCAAATTTACCTGTGTTCCTCAGCTTCTCTCTCCTCATGTTTGTATCTCCCCACTCAGGAATCTTGGGTGTAACTTCCTCTCCTGGCTCATTCCTATCAACTTTCAAAAATGGTTAACACTCATACTCTCCATGTATTCTCTGCCCGTCCAAACACCAGTTATTCCTTCATAGTTAACTCACTGAATTTATTCTCTACACTTCTTTCCATTTTTCTCTTCTCCACTGAAACTCTGTAAATTCTGCGGACATGAGGTCTTAATTTTCTGTGTCTTCTCTGTGACATTCACCACTCCTGAAGACTAGCTCTTGAAGTACCCTCCCTTAGCTGCCATCACACTTCATCTACCTCTAACCAGTGTCCTGTGGTGATCTCTCTCCCTGACCTTAGGGTGCATTCCTGGGTGGATGTGCTCCAAACACTAAGCTCTTGGCTCATCCATGACTTTGATCCCCATCTCTTCTTAGAGGACTCCGGAATCTTACCAGCCCAGATCTCTCATGCTTGCATTATATTCAGTTATCTCCTTAATATACCTACTTCAATGTCCTAATCATCTATGACAAACAATTTGATTCGGACTCCCACACTCCTCTTCCAGTCCCAAGCCTGGAAGTGGGCCTTCACTCCGCTCTCCTTCCAACATCCATGTATTCCCCAGCTCAGACAGCTCCAGTTATTGAAGATCCTTACAATGCTCAGCTCAGTCCCTGCTGCAGCTGCTCTGGCTCAGGCCAGCACTTCGCTCTTTGGTGGCAGATCTTCCTATCTCGGAGATCCCTGCTGGCCACACTGCAGCTGGTGCTTTTAAAAACAGAACACTGACCTGTGAGGATCCCTGGCTTCAGATCCTTCGGTGACTCCATGATCTATCTTGCCTCTGCTTACTCCTCCAGGTTCACAGACTGACATGTCACCTGTCACAGTCTTCTCCCTCGTTGTGACCCTCAGCGTTGGGCACAAAGCAGGTGTGCTGTTGGTGTATGGAGGTGCTCAGGCCAGGCCGCAGCTAGACCCCTGTGTGTACCTGTGAGCTCTCTGTCGACCTTGGTAGCCTATTTAGGGGTGATGGAAAACTGACTGCTTCCTTTGCGGCTCTTCTAGTCCTTTCAAGACCCTGCTCTGCAATCCGGGAACCAGGCTTGCACCACCAGGCGCTAGAGGGCGATCTCCGGCAGGAGCGTGAGCGCGAGTGCGGTCCGATGCGTGCGCACGCGCAGAGATGGCTTCCGGCGCCGCTTGGGACAGGATGCTGATCCTCCGGAGTGGGCTGAGGCACCTTCCGGAGCGACCGCGTGTCTGGGGCTCGGTTGGGCTCCGTCTTGGTGGAGAGATGCCTAAGAAAGCTGGTGGAGCGAAGAAGGCCAGTGGCGAGTCCCGTGGTGCGGAGAAGGTGGGCCGCAGGGCCAGTCCCGAAGGACGGAGGAGACGCGGGTCTTGAGGGTGGCTCGCCTCAGGGCCTGGTCCCTACCCCTGCCTTTCCGCTAGCCGCGGTGCCTCTGCTCTCTCCCCGGCCGCGCGCTTTCATCTCTGGGGCTATGTTAGTCCCAGTCGCTGCAGCCGAGTCCAGCGAGCCCCAGACCCAGCCCTGCGCTGTCTCCCGTCCCGGGCCTCTGGCGCTCAGCTTTGTGCACCGTGTTGGGTTCGTCCGCCCTCCTCCCTCACTACAGTCCTACGATCACATCCTACTCTTCCTCACCGATCCGCACGCAAGCCACTGCCCGTTGAATGAATGAACAAAAAGCTCCTAGCATGGCCTTTAAATATCAGACACTGTTCTTCCGCCCCACCCCATATACTCACTTCAGTTTGCGCTACGTCACATGCAAAGATAAACCATAAACTGGGAGAGGGAGGTGACACATACCTGTAATCCCAACACCGGGAGACTGGAGTTCAAGCCCAGTAAAGACAACGTAGTGAGACTTTTTCAGAATTTAAAATTTAAGAGGATGGGGCGGGGCTGGGGACGTATCAGTATGGAGGTGGGGGATGAATAATAAAGGATCCCTGCTTTTGAGAAAAGGAAAGTACAAAGCAGGTGGTAGGAAACAGCTCTAAAATATGGAAACTAGAGTCAGGTCTTCCTCTGAGGCAGGAAAAGCAGTTTGGAGGGCCTCATGGCAAGGCCTCGTGGAGTAATTGATGAGTTGTAAGTGTGAGGGAGAGCATAGGTGTCCAGAGGTCCTGGACACAACTGATAAGCCTAGTTTGTTGGGTTCAAGATGAAGGAGAATAGTGGGTGGATCAAATTAAATATGTGGGAATACATTTTGTAACCCGTGTAAAGTGTGGTGGCTTTTATTTTAGGATAAAAGCCAGAACAAGGAACCAGAGAGACCACCTCTTCCGTTAGTTCCTGTGGCAATTGATGCCAAAGGTTGTGTCACCATAGCTATCCATGCCAAGCCTGGCTCCAGACAAAGTGCTGTGACAGGTATGTGTGAACCCTGGGATGGAACTTTGTGGAAACAGTGATTTGTGCCTTCCACCCTCCTGCCACCTTGCTTAACTGCTTGTCCTGTGACAGTGGAGTATATCTTTATATCTAAAGTTAGAAGGTTCTCCATTTTAAAATTAGGTTCTCCTGTTAAAGGTATTTGAAAGTGAATATATATGTTATACCAAGTTAGGTGAAAACCATTTTATCTATACTTTCTGAAATGTTCTACTACCCTACATCAGTGATCCGCAACATTTTTGGCACCAGGGATCTATTTTGTGGAAGACAGTTTTTCCTGGTGTGGGGAGGAGTTGGAATGATTCAAGGACATTACTTTTTATTCTGCATTTTATTTCTGATATGTAATTTATGATTATTATAAGGAGTGCAGAACCTAGATTCCTTTGGTGTGTGGTCCACAGTAGGGCTCATGGCTCTTGTTTCTCTAAGAATCTAAGCCATCACTGATCTCAGAGTAGTGCTGCTCAGCAGTAGTGCAGGCAGCTGTAAATACAGATGAAGCTTTGCTTACCCATCCACCACTTGCCACTTACTGTGGTCCTGTTCCTAACACTTGCACCTCTTCCAGGTATCAGTCCATGGCCTGGGATTTGAGGACTCTGGCCTTGTTTATTCTTAAGTTATCCTATTCCAAACCTGGAGGCACTGGCCAGAGAAAAAAGAAATGTTTTGGTCTAGTTTAATGATCGCTGGCCTAAGAGGGGGAGAAAACCTGTGATCTGAGACATCTCATTAATTCCTGTGTGAATTTAAAATCATTTCAAAACTACTGATCTGAATTCTCCTGAAAAAAAAGAGCACTCAAAATATGTATCACTCTGAGTGTGGTGGACACCTCCCACTGTATTCTCAGTGCTTGAGAGGCCAAGGCTGAACTTGCCACAAATTCAGTACCACCTGGGCTGCATAGTGAGCTCAAGGCCATCCTGAACTACACTGGGAGACCCTGTCTCAAAAAAAGAAATGTGTCACATAAAAGAGATTAGCATAGTCTGGTGCTGTCCTTTTCCTGATGGGAAACCCTGAATATCCCTGTACATTCCTGTGAGTTGCCTCGTCCATGCACTTCCTCGGACACATGCTGGGGCTGAAGCCCAGCTCCTCCAGCTGCAGGCCTAAGCTCTTCCTACAGAACAGCTGCAGCCATCTAAATGTAAGACACTTCACAGAATGCTAGCCCCTTCATGGTGTAGGGTAGGGTAAGTTTTGGTTTTCTTTTCTGGATTTATTTTATGTATTGGTGGAGGCATATTCATCATGTTTATGTTCCATGAAGTGTGACTGATTAATCATTCTTTAACAGTTTTTTGTTTTAGTACTGGGAACTGTACCCAGTTTGACAGTTGTGAATTGAAAATCTGTGTGCCAGGCAAATGCAAACCCTTTTACAAAATTCCCTCATTTTACAAAGAAAACTCAGGGATAAAGTTCACACCATTTTCTTCCAGATCTGACCACTGAAGCTGTAAATGTAGCAATTGCAGCCCCTCCATCAGAGGGCGAGGCCAATGCTGAGCTCTGTCGGTATCTTTCCAAGGTCTTAGAACTTAGAAAGAGCGATGTGGTGTTAGATAAGGTAGGTCTCTCTCTTTAAACACCTTTGATTATTACATGTCAACCATGATTCATTAAATATTGATTTGTTTTCTTCAAATAATTTGGAAAGCCAGTTTAACTCACATACTCATTTAATCACAAAAATCTGTGAATTCTTCCTAGTTAGTCTCCATTTCTGTTGCCTCAGTCTTTATTCAGTTATACATTCTCTTTATGTCCTTAATTGCCATCCTGTGTAGCATTTTCTCCTTCTAAACCTATTCTTGAACCTGCTGTCAGATCAATCGTGCTCACTTTTTCTTTCAAGACATCACCACACTGGGGATGGGGAGGGAACTCAGAGGGTGAGGTAGGGAAGGGGAAATAAAAATGATTAAGATGTGATATGTTACATATTCCAGCTCCCAAGATGAATCTAATTATTATGTATTACAAACATACACTAATAAAAAAAAGATATTATCATACTAAAAAAAGAAAAAGGTTCCACTTGTTTGTCATCTCCATTAGTGAGCCCATCAGGTATTTCTGTCCCCCAAAAATTGACTTTCTCCTCAGAGAAGTTTATTAGGACGATAGTAGTTCATGTGAAGTCAGTAATGCCTGCCATGATTTTGTACTAAAATTACTTGAGAATCATTTCTAAGTAAAGGTTCCTGGACATAACCTTAGACATACTGAAACAGTGGACCTCAGCCATATTTATATCTTTAGAGCTACTCATTTTCCAGTGCTGCACTATATAGCTCAAATTCTGGTGAAATTTAGTCTTTAATAAACTGCACCTAAAAGTCCATCTCGTCAGGCCTTTTCCCTCATCTCCCCAACCTACCACAGGTCCTTTCTGATGTCTTGCCTATGTGCCTGCTGTGACATACTCCTGAAAGGTGCTCCCCACTCTTCTACCTGTGCAGGTTCTGCCCACCAACATAAATCACTGCTCACATTTTATCTTTGAAAAAACAAATCCTTTAGAACTTTTGAAAGCGTAAAATCATAGCACTTGGGTATGTAGTTATTTTTGGAATTTTCAGAAAATGTTTAACAATATAGAGAATAGCAATTTGTTTACATTTAGAATTATTTTTATACCAAGTTTATATAAAACTACAGTATTTATTTTGGTAGTTTAAATTTTTATTTTTTAAACAAAAGAATTACTTGAAACTATGAAATTTTAATGCCAAGAGCTTTTATTTTTATAGAGAGCTTTTATTGCCATAGGTATAAAGGTAAAAACCTGGCAAAGTGTAAAACTCTATAGCAAGGTAGAAGCTGAGAGGTCATCCTTGGTGAGACCAGAAACTGCAGGAATAAGCGCGGCTGAGCAATCAGTAGCCTATCTGTGTTGTCCCCACTAATACACAGCTACAACAGGACACCTGAGGTCTGCTGTCGCTGACAGCATCACAATGTTGAGTGCTTTTTTGTCTTTTTTATTCAGGGTGGTAAATCTCGTGAAAAGGTGGTGAAACTTTTGGCCTCTACAACTCCAGAAGAGATCTTAGAGAAATTAAAAAAGGAAGCTGAAAAAAAATAAAAGCAAGAAATGAAAAATAACATCCTCGAGGGACTTTTTTATTATTAATGATGAAGAGGCTGCTAAATAGGAAAATATGTTTAATATGCAAAAGAAAAGAAGATATATTTATATACATATATGAATCAGACTAAAAAACATAACAATTTTAAAAGTACTATACATTGAATATAGATTCCAAAATCCCTGACCCGAAACAGCCTGAAACTTGTTACTCTGGTTTCAAGTTACAACCTTAACAGCTGGAAAGGATATTCAGGAGGACCTAAATGAGTTCCTTGCATGCTGTGGTTGAGCCTGATATCCAGAAGCTGGGAGACTTACTTGGGATCACACTGCACAAGATGGCACCTAGAACCCAGGTCCTTTGATTTCTCTTTGAATGAAGTTATCCTGATTAAACTAAGATGATATCATTTCTGGAACGCTGGGAATTGTCTTCTAATCCATTTTACAAGTGACAGAGGAAAACCCATCATACTGCTTTGTAGTTTTATATTTAAAGATGTTTAACTGCAAAAATGATTTTTAAGTCTTTTAAAGATTACATGGAGTTGTACTTTGTTTTGTTGGTGGTACTGGGGATTGAACCCAAGATTTTCACACTAAGCTATGTCCCCATCCCTTTTTTTTTTTAGGCAGAATCTTGCCAGGTTGCCCAAGCTAGGCTCGAACTTGCAGTCCTCCTGTCTCCCTCCCAGAGTGCTGGGATTATAGGCATATACCAAATGCCTGGCTAAACTACATGGACTATTTTATGAAAAGGTAAATAAAAATAATCAAGACTTGTAACTTAATTATTTTTGAGAAGTCACTGAATTTTTTTCCTTCTCAGTAGTAACTTATAGACTTCAAATCCAGTATTTCTTATTTTTATTTTTTTGGATTGGGGATTGAACTCGGGACCTTGCACTTATGAGGCAGGTGCTGTGCCACTGAACTAAATACTTGGCCTTCAAATCCAGTATTTCTTATGAATCACCAAAGACTCTTAAAAGAAAGGAGGAGGACCTGGAAACTATTTGCAGCATTTATAAAACCTATTAGAAATTATGTGTATATTAAAGCTGAAAACAATAATAAATACTTTTTTATGTACTTGGCGCAAGGTATAGTAATTCAGTATACGTTACTTTTGGTGACATGTAGCTGTGTGCTTTAATATGTGAGAAAAAGGTACTGATGGACATGATCATTAAAGATACATAATCTGTAAGAAAGACCAGTAAAAACAAATTATTGATGGGAAAAGAGCTAAGAGGTAGAGACTACTCTTCTGGTAGAACCCTTATTTTGTTGATAGGAACCAACGACCTGAGAAGTTTTGTGCTTGCCCACGATGACAGTGGTTATGAGTGGCAGAGCTTGGTTTAAACTTCACTGCCCTGTCTTCTAAGTTGCTCTGCTACCTGCCTCCTGTGTGTTTCAATTAGACATGGGCTTGGCTTGAGAATTTCCCCATTCAGCCCTTCTGGTGTGTGCTATGATAGCCTTTGGCTTGTGGTTTTATGTGGCTCACTGTGGCAGTACTTTCTTGCACAGGGAAGAGTAGTACAAATCCACCTGGCTGAAATTATAAAGGGTGCCTGTCTATGATTCCAGCCCCCTGGGAGGCTGAGGCAAGATGATTACAAGTTTGAGCCTAGTCCAGGCAACTGAAACCTGGTCTCAAGACATAAAAAGGGCAAGGGATATATATATAGTTCAGTGCAGAGACCCTGGATTCAGTCCCTGGTAATTAAGGATATATTCATACATTCACATACCTTTTGGTCCAGAGCTGTACTGGGGGGCAGGTGCTAGGTTGACTCAGTTCATTAAGTAATACCAGCTTCATCCTTAGGCCTGTTTCCTTCATGGAGGAAAAAGGCCATGTCCTATGTTTCACATACACACATCACCCCATCCAGTAGGCAAAAAAGGCAGCACAGAAAAGCTGTTATTTCTTTCCCCAAAACTCAGCCTCCCTTTATCGCTTGCCCAGGTTATGACACATGAAGTTTCCTTTTTTACAGGGTGGGGGTGGTGGTGGTGGTGACATGAAGTTTCTAAACAAGCCACCGTGGTCAAGGAATGGCATGCTATAAGTTCCCTGAGCCAGTGACTGCAGAAGAGAATTGCCCAAATCATTTTAGGCCAACTAAGGCCCAGCTGAGAGCTGGAGATAGGTTTGGCATACTTGGAGTCAAAGAGTGGAGAAGTGGACACCAGAATAAAATTGGGAAAAGTTACAAAGATAGAATGAGAACAGAGGCTTAATGGGAACCAATAATTTCCACCATGGTAATCTGTTCATTTTAAATGCTCATATTTAAAGTGGGAACTTTTTTTGTCTAATCAGCTTTTTTGTTTTTGTTTTGTTGTTGTTTTTAAGAAAGTAACAAGATTGGGCCAGGATTTAGCTCAATGGTGCCACTGCCTGCCTTGCAGATGAAAGGTCTGGAGTTCAGTTCCCAGTACCACCCCCAAAGAAAGTAACAGGATTATTTAACAAAGAAGAGACAATCATAGTAACACTTTATTATAAAAAACTTGCCAGAGTCAGGCATGGTGGCCCACCTGTAATCCCAGCTACTTAATTAAGAGGCAAAGGCAAGAGGATAACAAGTTCAAGGCCAGCCAGGGTAACTCAGGGAGACCTTGTCTCAAAATTTTAAAAGGCTTAGGGATGTAACTCAGTGCTAGGGAAGCCCTAAGTTGAATCTTTAGTAGAAGATTCCAGAAGAGTCCTGTCTCCCCTGTAAATGAGGTAGTCTTCAAATAGGGTTCTTGCTCATGAGTGATGTTACAGTGAAGGCCTGGGTATCTTGGCCTGCCATAGTTTACTTACGCAGCTTTCTTCAGCTGAGTCTTGGTCTTCCCTAAGAATAATGATGTTCACCCAAGTGTAAGGTCAAGCACCTAAGACACAAAATCTTCAACCTCCATAACGTTTTTCTAACAACAAAACTGTAACCTGGCTCACTCCCCATTGATTTTAAGTGAATACTGGCTAGCCAGTCTAGAAATTGACCTGATTACACCTTTTTTTTTTTTTTTTTTTTTTTTTTGGTTCTGTACTGTCCTGAGGATCCTGGCTTTGAGGCAGCCTATAAATGAAGTTTGAAAGATAAGTCAACTAATTATGTTGACTCATACTGTGATGATCTAGTCCTGTACCTGTCATCCCGCCATAGTAAAAGATAAGTACTTCTGCAGAAAGGGTTCAGTAATTAATAGCTTGGGTACTTGCACTATGCATTGACAGAACTAGAGAAGGAAATCCCTGGCTCATTCTTCCTTGGAGGCAGGCACAGATTTTGGACCCCTGAATCTGTGGGCCTTTTCTACACCCCTCTCTTAGTTGGAGACTGGAGAGAATCTGAATACAAATGGCACCTTTGCAGTATGTAGTTTCAGATAACTGAAACTCACAAATTTTAGAAGGCAGTTTTCTGGCCTATGAGCTACTGGCATGCCCCTCTTAGATTCAAGGGATTTGATTAAGTAGTTCCATAACAGGAAGAAAATAAATTTTAGGATCCACCATCGCTCTGAGTTCAGAGTGTTTTAATGCACATGACTTTCACTTACAGCCAAGAGGTGGCACCATAATATACAGCAAAGAGTTGCATGTAATTTGATGAAGGGAATTCTTTCCCTTTGAAGTGAGCCAGCACTATTAAGATGTCTGGCCCGCACAGTCACAAGGGTCTCACATACTCTGATCCACCTCCTATCTTCAGGAGTTTATCTCAGGACAGTGTCATGTGGAGTCAGCGTGGTCCTGAGTATTTCTCTTAAGAGCATCTTTCAGGAATCCCATTTAGTCTTTGAAAATGCAGTTTGGCTGAACAGGCAAGAAACTAATTTCTAATCAAGATCCCATCTTGTCACTTGAAGTGAAGAACACACCTGCCAAATAGGCTGTACAGTGGGTTCTTCTAGTGACTCTAGTGAATACATTCTGTCCACTTGGGAGAGCTCTTGAAGGCTGCTCTTAGCTTCAGATGAGAGAGACATGACCATCTGGAGCTCCTATTTTTGCTGGTTGCTGGGAAGGACCTATTACTTTTTTTTTGGTACTAGGGATTGAATTCATAGCCTTCACATGATTGAATCCTTAGCCCCCCCCACCTTTTTTTTTTTTGAGATATTATCTCACTAAGTAGTAAGCTTCTCAGGTTGGGCTCAAATGTGAATCTTCCTGCCTTAGCCACCAAGAGTGCTGAGATTTTAGCTAGCCTGTCTCTCTTCTGGATCAACACTGGAGACAGTGGCCCTTCATAACCAGAAACTCTTTTTCTGGGCTATAAGAAGACCATCTACACACAAACTTAGAAAATTCTTAACAATCGATAAGGTTTTTTAGTATCTTATAACCCTAGCTATTTGCCTTGGGGTCCATTTAGTCCCCTTTATTGATAGAGTTTGGACACAGATGAGTTCCCAAACTTTATAGCCGAAAGTCAGACTGCTTGGTCATTTCTACATGAAATTCACCTCTGTGACACAGACTATCAAGTATCTTGCAAATTGTTTCAAAGCCTTTGATTTCCTCAGAGATGCCTGGGGAGATTGGGGCATTGTGGTGAATGAGAGCTAGGCAAGGCACAGAGCTGCAGGCCTGAAAGCTTTTCTGGGGCTGGGGATTTAGCTCAGTAGTTTTGCCACCTGCCTCACAAGCGCAAGGACCCAAGTTCAATCCCCAGTACCAAAAAAAGAAAAGTTTAAAACAAGGATATTGGAAAGTATATTTGGGCCAGGGATGTAGCTCAGTGGTTCTGCCACCTGCCTCTAAAGCACAAGGTCGTAAGTCCAAACCCCAGTATCCAAAAAAAAAAAAAAAAAAAAAAGCTGTTCTGTCTCATCCCAGAGCGGCTACTGAGCACTTGAAATGTGGCTAACTGGATTTTAAAAAGAAAAACAATAGCATCAGAGAAACAAGGCCATGTTAGAAACAAGACAATAGAAAAAACTTAAAGTCAGGTATGGAGTTAGAGGGCAAGACAGAAGAGTGAGCAAAGAAAGAAAATGACAGTTATGGAAGTCAGAAAAGAATATCAACATGCCCATAATAGGGGTCTTGATGAAGAGAACCAGAGAAATGGGACAGAACAAATGTCTAAATATAGAATCAAGAAAAGCCTGAAGAAGTAATGACAAAGAACAATCAACAGACAAACATAGTTCTCTCATTTCAACGATTAAAAAAGCCTGTGACCATCTAGACAAAAAGTTGAAGTCACACAGCAAGGGAGACACATGTTGCTGATGGAATGTGAACCTCTAGGGTTTTTAAAAGTGTCCGCATTTCTTAAAATTAAAACTGATCTTTTAGGTATACAATATGATGATATTCATCTTTGGGAATTTGCACCTTCACATGATATATCTTGGTTCTTAATTTTCCCCATTCTCCTGTCCTCCCTTCAACCCCTCCCTATTTATAAAGACTTTGTTTTTTTCCTTTTCTCATACTTTTCCTTTCCCTTCTTTCCTTTCCCTTACCCCTCCTATTTCCCCTTCCCCTTTGGTCCTTTTCTTCTTAGTTCACATTATGTATTACACATTTTGATACTCATTTACACTTTCAGTTTTTCACACCAGTGAAACTATTCAGTATTTATATGTGTGTCCTATTTATTTCACTTAAGTGTTTGGCCTCAATGTGCATCCATTTAGCTATAAATGTCTCTAGTTTCTCATTCTTTATGGCTGAGTAGCACTCCATTTTATATTAAAAAAAAACCACGTAAACTAAAATTGAAATGAATCAAAGATCTAAATATTAAAACAAACACTAAACCTGCTGGAAGAGAGATTAGGTAGAACTCTTGAAGACATTGGCATAGGAAAAGACTTCTTGAACAAAACCTCAGTTGCAATGGAAACCAGCACAAAGAGTCAACAACTGGGAACTCATCTTATTAAAAAGCTTCTGCACATCCAGAGAAAACCACCAAGAGCTAGGCATGGTGGCTCACACCTGTAATCCCAGCACTTGGGAGGCAGACAGGAGGATTGCGTGTTCAAGGCCACCCCGAGCTACATAATGAGTTCAGGCCCAGCCTGAACTACAAAGTGAGACCTTGTCT